CTTCTCCACTGGGATCGAGACATTGGGTTCTTTCCCTTGTAGTTACTCGATACTTGAGCAACTTTGGTGGCACCTACATGAGGTTCTTTCTTGAGTGTCAAAGATGAACCTCTTGGCACTTCAAAGGAATGCCACCTTTCTTCTTTGGGTCTCTTTCGACTCGATGTTTTGAGCCATGTATCGACTAGCACATTGGTTGGAGGCCTGAAAGTTAGTGGCCTCTTTTCCTGACTTAAACCCTTTTGATAGGTTCTTCTAGGATCGTGTCGAACATCAGAGCCTGCACTTGTTTGGGCATTTCTGCTCCATTTTTTGTTTGCTGCTCTCACACCTTCGATGTGTTCAACAGCTTTCTTGTCAAAAATAGAGCTGCATCGAGGACACAACATTACTTCTGATTTTTTTCTTCTGGCATCGTTGCAAGAATTTTTCCAGATTTTCGTTCTCTCGGGGGAACGCTGTTCTGTTTGCTTGCTCTTGCCTGATGGCTTCCTCTGAAACTTTTGATTCAGAGATTTCGACCATGTTGACATTCATGTTGTCTTTAGTAGCAAGAGTCATTTGCTTCATTTGAGCCTCCAGGTCTTTTGTTTGGCCTTGCACCGTAGCCAAGTAGGAAGTGGGTTTAGTTCCAGATTTTGAGACTCCACCTGTTTCCAGTTTTGGGCCCTCAGCGGCCTTTTGGACTGCTTCGATTGTTTTTCTAGAAAGGTTCCTATAAAAACTGCCAGATATTGGCATATTGATATGATCTTTGGTGACTTCGACCATAGTTATCCATGGCCTTTTCACCTGACTCCTGGAAGCTTGGATCATATTTACCCTGAGGGTTCAGCATAGTGGGCTTCCGCCTGCAAAGGGCTCGAATCCACATTCACGGGGGCCTTGTCAGTGAACTTCAGCCTCCCTTCTTTGATAGAATTTTGCACGAGATCCCTGAAAAGAAAACATTGAGATGTTTTATGGCCCAGAAAGTTATGATATTTACAATAGCCTCTTTTCTTTCTTTGATCAAGAGGAGGCACTTTTACCCCTGGGGGTATTATCATTTGGCCATCTTTTACAAGTAAATCAAAAATTTCATCACATTTCGTAATATCGAAACTGTAAGTCTTTTTAGGGAACTTATCATTGGCCTTTTCAGACTCAGTGGGGTTTTTTCCACTTGAGGGGACTAGTAATTTGCAAGAGTATGGTGGCCCTCGTTTTAACTCAGCTAAATCGACCTCACTCTCCTCGACGGCTATAAGTTCGTCGAATGTTTATGGATCTTCATCGTCCATTTCGACATATGCTATCTTTTCTCTTTTATGAGTTTTCGTCGCCCTAGCTTTTTCAGCTTTAAGGCGTTCTACCCTTCGAACCCTATCGGCCAATTGGGCCATGTCCCTCAGGTACTGAGTGTCTAATTTCTTCCTAATGGAGTAATCTAGACCTCCAGTGGCTATTTCGACTAACTCGTGCTCTGGCCCTTGCGTAAAGCATCTTGCCTTGAGCAATCTAAACCTATTTAGGTATTCGTCTATAGGCTCAGTGAATCTCTTCTTTACACTATCCAACTATTTCAAGCTTATCTTGGTTTGTCCCATGTAGAATTGCTCATGGAACAATCTCTCCAACTGGGTCCAATGGTGGATCGAATTGGGGGGAGAGTTGTGAACCAAGTAAACGCATTCTTTGTTAGGGAACTTGGGAAATACTTAATCCTTAGGTTCTCATTGTTTGAGATTTCTCCCGCTTCGATTAAATATCTTGCCACATGTTCGACAGTGGGTTCTGTCGTGTCCCCTGAAAACTTAGTGAACTTAGGGACTTTGCATCTAGGAGGCAAGTCCGTTTGTAACACATATTCCGACAGCGGGGATGTGAAGTTGGGCCTACGGAAGCCCGTATTCATCCCGTTTTACATCATGATTCTTTCAATCATGGCTGTCAAGTTATTCTCCAAACCAACATTCTGGTATTGGATTTGCTGAACTACTTCGTCAGCGTTTTGGTTTCTATTAACCATCCTTATTTCCGGGGCTACGACTCTCGGCTATTCGACCCCGGGTTGTTCCATTTGTACCCTAAGGTTCTCTTCGACGGGCTGCTGGACTTGGTTAATAGTGGTTTCTTCCTCTAGAAGTATGTCTTGGTTTCCCCTTATCTGTGCCCTTTGGGGCTGTCGAATGGGTTGGGATACCCCAAAAAAGTCAGCCAGTCGCGACATTTGCACTGTCATTTGCTGATTCGACTGGGTGGTATTCTATATTAGAGGATTTAGCACTGTACTTAAAGTTTGCGCCAACATTTGAACCATGTCGTGGTTGCTTTCGTCCATTTGCTGCCTCAAGACTGCTGTCGAGGCATTCGTAAGGCCAGGCATACGTGGGACGTTCCTCCTAAGAGATGGTTCCTACCCATGTTCGCCATACCAATTCCAGAGCCTTGGAGTGGCGAAGAGGCGCTCACTAAAGGTTCTGAAAAGGTGGACGTAGCGTTTGTCAGGCTAGTCAATTCAGACGTTGGCATGCCGTAGGGTGGTTCTCGGTTTAACCAGACTGTCGAAAAACCTGGGGGAACATATGGTCTAGTTCCTTGGTTTCCCCTTGATGGGGGAGTTCCCAAAGGCATTCTGGGGCCTGTAAATGAAGGTATTGGCCCCGTTTGTGTAACCGTTACTGTTGGCGTTGAACCAGCGGTTACCACTTCGCTTATGGTTGGGACAACCGTCACTCTCACGTTTGTTTGTGGGTTTTCTCCATTGTTTGGCGGATTCGCCATTTCTCTACTTCTTCTCCTAGTATTGGTTTCGTTGGTGTATATTCTACCACTTCTCAATAACATGCAATACTCTCGAAAAAGGAGTATATTTTATAAAAAACGATTAAACTCGTAAAATCAACACAAGGTCCCACCAGGTGTGCCAATTTGTTTACCGTAAAAAATGGTAAACAACCGCTGATCTTCCAAAAGATAACTTATTTGGTGACTCGCAGGATCGATCAGATTGATCCTAAGACATGGCTGATTTTTATCGTTTAAATGCTTTAAAGTAGAGAGTTTCGACTAATCCTAATGGTGATTAACGCAAGTAAGGCAGAGACACTTTAAGTAAATTGCATGGAGAAAAGCTTGATAAAGTAAATAAAAGCATTAAAGGCTTGTTAAATAAATGACTTCGACTGAGATAAATAAGTGAAAGCGATAAATTGCTTGAATGTAAAAGATTTCGATTAAGGTAAATGGTGTTTCACACATACATTTTCAATGATTCTTTCTCTCACGCTGGATACTTGAATCTAAATGAGTGACTTGTATACAATGATGAACACCCTTAATAACTACGTGAACACTTAGTATTTATACTAAAAATCCTAAATAACTGCTGGACAGTTACATCGCTTCGTGGTGACACCACATGGCACGTTCACAACCCCCGACGCCTACTTCCACGCCACGTTGCGCTTGGTAACTGCTGGGAACCGTTTTCCCTCCAACAATTCGAAATTCAAACCGTTCGATCTTGGGCATCAGGGACCTTGGTCGAAAGGTTGCTCCTTCGACGTTGAAAACAACATGATTCCAACTTAGAGAAATTTCTCTGAGTATCTTGTCATTCTTTGATAAGCCTTCGATGTGATCAGCTGATTGAAGCCTTCTTGTGTAGGAAACTCTTCTAACTCATAATTAATGATCTATATGATAATAGAACATGGGTGTCGAATTTAGGTGCCAACAGTGTGGTACCTCGAGTAAACTGAAAGCATTACTGCAATCAGTTTAAGGGAGGAATTTGTTGGGCTTGTTAAGTTACAGTAGAAGTTGTCAAAGTGCAGTCAGTTAATAAATCCTAGTATTTAGGACATGTAGGTGGAGTCACAACATTTATTTAGCTATTTACCACGTTATTAGAATTAGTAAAACGTGGGCAGTTTGTTTTCTATTTTTTCCTCATTGTAAGGCTTATATAAGCCAACTGTTTGTTTCAAATTATATGCAATTATTATTATTCATATTATTTTCTGTGAATTAAGTTGTGCTTAGAGTTTACAATAGTTAGAGCATAGCATACAAATAACTTTGTTTTCATTTTTCAATACTAGATCAAGAAAAACTAGTCCATGAAAAACATATACTTTCAGGTTTTATTAATAATTATACATATTTATAGAAAAAACATGTCAACTAAGCTATTATGATGTAGTGGATGTGGCATGCGCTGTTAACCATCAGAAAAAGGGTTTGATTCTTATCACAAGCAAATTTTGTTAGAGTTGCATAAAATAATGTGTAGAAACGTTAAATGTGTAGGGAGGGGATTCTCTCTAGTGCAGAAAATTTACACTGCAGGGATGTGCATGCAATAATCATACTAGCTGGCACTGAGTTTGTTATGCTCGGTGCATACTCACCTATTGTAACTAACTTTACTAAACTATCAATAACAGAATTTCTCTCTCTCTCTCTCTCTGAATTAATGATGAAGCATTCTTCATCCTCTCTATTTTTCTATTAGTATAATCCAAGGTCTGTGGAACTCTTTCCCAGATTGAGGAGATCAATGTCATCATACTATAAGTGAATTCATTAATAGATAATAAATGGTGTCGTGTCATCAATAATCCAATGGTTCATTCACATGGAAGAAGCAAAATGCTTCCTCCAAAAGGAATCAAGAATTACAACCATCAGTCGGACCATGACTGTAATTAGGCCGGCACATTATGTTGCGGCGTAAATTAAAATATCAAATGCACAGCAAAAATTGAAACAATAAAGGATTATTCAAGCATGTTAATTGTTCAGCTCAATTCTAGCTCAAGTCTAGATACATAAAGTCACATTGACACTTTGTACAAGTCACCACATTAATACATATCTTAAAACAACAAAAATCATGTCTTAAATAAAATGTATACACTTTAAACAAATTAAGATTTGAACATAGAACTTTTACATTAACTGCTAACTTATTGACTAGACAACAGAGAACAGAAGTTATTAGAAATCATCCATCAGCCTTTCTTTGGCATTGCTGCAAGCCTTGTGTACATTCTTGCCATGGACTGGTAACCTTTAACATCACCTGAACGCAGAAGATTACCTGCATAGCCAAAAGGAAATAAATGAGAAATGTCTTTTTTTCCAACTAGATTACAAGTTTTCGGCTAACTTTTTTTTTGTTTCAGTATAAAGAAATAAAGGTGTATATGTTTTGGAATGAGTTAGGAGCTAAAGGATCTGAAGTTCTTTATCTTCCAAATAATTACCAATATTCTGTAATAAATAACACAAATCTGGAAGCATACAAGTAAATTCAAATAGTTGAAGACAACAAAATGGCCCTCATGAAATGAAACACCAGATCCTAGGTGATCCCAAGTATAACTGATAGATAGGATGATGATGTTTAAAAAAGTTTATTGGCATATCTCATGGTTTTAAATTGCGGTCCGCAACCGCAATTGTGGCCGCAATATTGCTGATGTGGTATTCTCCGCAACCGCATCGGACCACAATAGCGGTGTGATTTGAAATCACGCGTCCATCTACATTAGAAACCGCATCAGACAGCTTAGCCCATGTTTCTTCATGTCTTTTCGTCAAAATTCAAAATTTAGAACCCCAAAATTAAGTGTTTTTAAACAGTGTATTTCAAACTCCTACCAATCAAGATTCACGCCGCAATGGCTGCAATGCGCATTGCAACAGTCGCAATGACCGTAATCACAACACCCTCAACTGCAACCACATCCACAACCGCAATTTAAAACCATGTCATATCTGTTGCACATTTTCAATTCTCAATTCGATCCTCAATCTGATCAACTATAATCAACATAAAGCCATACTACATTGGATTCATATATTATGAATACAAGTTTATTTTTATGGAAGCTCTATTTATTCATTTGGGAAGGGTGGAGAATATAACTTCTTTCTATTCCACGACACTAAAGACAAATTAGAAAACGGTATGAAATAGAGAGTTTGACAACCTGAATCACAATTCAGTGGGCTGTCAGGTTCTGGATGAGCCATCAAAGCAATTATAGCCCTACAGACAGATTGCAAAGTCCAAGCAGGGCTCCAAGCAGTTTTCAAGATATCTAGGCAAATCTCCCCTGTCTGGAAAATTACAAGAGGTTAAAAAATATTCATGAAAAAATGTCAAGAAAAACAAATCTAATATAATGAAGTTAACAATCAAACTTATCCAGAACAGAAGGAAAGCAAAAATAATTGGTCAGTCATTCAAATCAATATTGCTATCACTCTCAAATGGGTTCTTATGAAACTCAAAGAGGAGGCAAAATAGTATAAACAAATTAATCTCCTAACATATCACTGAAACAAATTAGGATACTATAATTCACTTTAGAAATCAAACAATTGTGTTCTAAAAGTGAAAAGCATCAGGAAACAACAAAGTGTCATTCACTTCCAGAGGAATCCATCCTACCTTAAAATGCACATTCGGGTGAAATATTTTAGTCAAAAACCTGACTTGTGGCGGTTGTAGAGGATAATGCTCTGGAACAGAAAATGCAAGCTGGAAGATACCCCCTTCGAAAGGAGTCTCTGAAGGTCCCTAATTGTAAACAAAATAAACCAGAGCAAATGGATCATCAAATATTAATCAAAAATCTTATTTACTCTCTCTGTCTCAAATATAAGCAACAATTTTATATGTTGATTCAGATTTCTTTTAAACAAACCTTTAATTCTCATGGAACATGTTCCCATGAGGAGCAATTTGCAAAATACAATTACTTTTTATTACTGCGAGAATATTGAATGCGACTAACTGCTTTTCTTAATAAGTGAAAAATTGCTTTTTTTGCTTATACACGTGGCCGAAAGTAGTAGTCCTCTTCAAGAGCATTAGCTATCATACCTTGATAAGAGCTGTCCACTTAAAAATGTTAGAATCGTCACAGACCAATTGAATATCAGGATCAGCCGTCTTCTCTCTTTGCACCTCTTTGTACTCCTTGAAAAGCCTCGCCCGTGACGCCTGCGTTTATAACACAACCAAATCCAAAGTCAATGCTAAGCTTGCTACAAAATTACAAGAGATTACAATAAAAAAAGCAACTACAAAGCCACACAACAACAACAACGAAGCATTATCCCACTAAATGAAGTCAGCTACACGAATCAACTTCCATCATAATATGCTTCTATCCAAATCGTTAATTTCAAAAACTTTCTTAATAATTTCTCTTATAGTTTTTCTAAATCTTCCTCTACCTCTATCTGTTTGACTCCTCTCTACCTGATCTAATCTCCTTACTACATAATTTACTCCGTCTTCTCTCTATAGGTTCAAACCACCCAAGTCTATTTTTCATCGTCTTTTCAATTGCAACCATAACACGTCGTCGTCGTCATCTTGCAATTTAAATTAAAAAAAACCTAGTTTTTTTTCTTAACCCTAAGCATCTACAAATAAGATCTGCAACTACTGAATTCAATACGGGTTAACTCAAATCACAAAAACTGCATCCATTAAATTAAAAGATGATGATGATAAAAGTAACGAACCTGCATGTTTGATATGCGCGAGTTGGAAAGTAATACTCTGGGGGAATTGAACTGTGGGATTGAGAAAATACGAGAAAACGTAAACAGGTAAGAAAGAAAATATCGAATCGAGAAACTGTTGAGTGATGTGTTCAGATTTCGTGATTTTGAAAATGAAATGATGGACGAAATGGTGAATTGTGCTGGCTCGAGAATCGATCGGAAATGAAGAAACTTTGTAAACCCTATTATTGTGGACCCACGTAGAAGACGATGGCACAAACTCTTTTTTTTTTTCTTTTCTTTTTTTTATTCGAATCCTATCCTTCGATTTTTCCTACTGTGTTCTCTAATGCAATGATATCAACCGTTGGATTAATCTAACAGAGGAGAAATAAATTTTAATATATTAATAATATCAAAATTAAAAATATTCTCTCCAAAGGCAAAATAACTTCGTCTCTTCTGTTATTAATATAATAAAGTAATATATTAATAAAATCATTTTGATACTCTTTGAAAAATTTAATGAGAGACTTAATTTTAAGGATAACATAGACAATTTGCAAGCGTAATAATGATTAAAAAATAATGATTAATAGTAGTATAATTTGACATGTAGCAAACTGACAGTGATAGGCATAAATGTGTTTTTCGTGGCATATATGTTTTTTATATTATAGATGGTAGAAGATTAAAAACAAACCATAAAACAAATTTATTTGTGCTATTAGAGAGCTTTTATGAACATTTTTTATTCCAGACACAAGAATAGAAGTATATGAGAAGAATTTACCTGTGAAGAATTTTTAATTTATTTTCTAGACTTTGTCTTGTTCAAGCTACGAATTTAGGTGCGGTTGTGTTGATTGATTGTTGTTTTTCTTGTGAGAATGGAATGTAACCGTGAGTCAGTGTTTGGTTTTACCATGAATTTTATGAAAATATTGTTGTTGATGTTTGTGTGAGCTTAATTGTGTTGTTGTTGTTGTTCTCGTATCATCACCAAGCCACCGCTGTTAGCTGGGAATTTCGATTACACAAGTTTTGAATAATTGACAATATGATCGATGAAAGAGTCGTTCAAAAGAAAGTATAAGAGGGCTTTTATGAAGTCTTCGGTTGATGAAGAGCTAGTAAAGAGTTTCACTACGTTGAACCGTTATCAAAGGGTTCGTTTTCGAACTATTGAAATATAAGTTATTCGAAGCATTACAAGGAAAGACATTTCAACTGTCATGTTGATTGAATTGGCGCTTCGAAAAGAAGAAGATTTTGAATTCAAAAGCTTTGATCTTATCCAAAGAAACACGTGGAAGTCTAATGGTTCGAAAGACATGCAATCTTCGAACGTGGCATGATTTCATAGAAGGACCGTTAGGGTCGAATTAGTATAAATAGAAGTCTTAGATGTCAGAAAAAGAGGTGTTCGAATTGTATACAAAATCATATTATACTCAAAGTACTGGAGCGAGAGAAACAAGTTTGTTGATAATGTATGTGTAAGAACACCACCAGTTTTATTTAGAATTAATTTCTCACTACAGAGTCTTTAATCATTTTCATTCTCTTTTTGTTTCTAGTCTAGTCTTTTAACAATTTTATTAAACTTTTTTATTAAGCATTGTCTTTACATTTTTACAATTATCCAGATTGTTCCCTTTAAAGTCATATTTAAGATTCATAGTCAAACTTTAAACATCATGAGATAATTATAACCATAGAAATATCTTGTTATTATTCATACAATGTTTTTCTTCGAATCAGACTGTAAGAACACTAAGACTATGTCCTAGGATCAATCTAGTCGATCCTGTAAGTTACCAAAACATAGGGTTTGGAAGACTAGCGGTTGTTTGTCAGAAATAACTGGTAAATAAGTTGGCACACCCAGTGGGACCGTGTCGAAGTGTTTTAGTCACATTGTTTATGTTCTTTCGATTTGGGTCTTTATAGTAGTTTCTGTTACGAATCGATTCTTGCCCAGTATATGAACCTTAGGAGTGGTAAGATAACCAACAACAAACAATCAATACCCAAAAGAAAGCAAACCAGAAAGATGGTTAATACTGCCAATGATGGAGGAGAACAAAATCCTCCACAAGGATCAGGCACAAGCATTGCGAGTTCGACGAATGAGTCATTTGTGATCCCTGGTTCACAAGCCATGTCCACATCCACAGGATCCATGGCTACAAATAGTTCGATACCTGGGTCCATAGGGGCCATACCCATGAACAATTCGACAACCATGCCTATCTCTGCAAATACGACAGAGATCCCTTCAAATACTCAAACTGGCCATGTGTTGACATATATGGGAAATCAGACTCAACTTGCAACCCCTAGACCACCAGGATTTGAAAATTTTAGGACTTGGAGGGAGCAACCCCAATACGGGATGCCAACTTCCCTTATGTCAGGATTACACAATAATACATCCACACATACACAGCCTACCATGACAACCTTTTCGCCAGTGCAAAACTTTGGTTCTGGTATGAACTATGTGGGTCAAAATACGCAGAACCAAGGATTGTCAAACCAATTTCCTATACTCGAAACTAACACTCAGGCATCATTTAGGCAACAAATTGACGCTAGTAACCATGACATGGTAGGAGTACTTGCACGTGAAATGAATACCATTTTCTCTCTTTTGATCCAGAATATTAATGGGACAAACCAAGAGAATACCCAATCCTATCAGCAAATGTCAACGCAGATAGCGCGCATAGAAAACTTTTTCGGAGCCCCACAAGCACCTATTCGATATAGGCAAAATCAGGTGGCAATTCAAGAGGAAGAACCTACTATCAATCAGGTTCGACCACCCAAACAAGAGGTTGGAAAAAGAGACATGGGGGCAAGGGTAGAACAACGAGAGATTCGAAATGAGATCCCGAGGAGCAACCTAGAAGAAAAGTAATGGTTAACATGGATTAAAATGCAGAAGAAGTGATCCATAGAGTTAGGCAGGATAACATGCTGGCTAAAAATAATTTAACCACCATGATCGAAAGAATCATGACCCAAAATAGCCTGAATACAGGGTTTCGACGGCCAAATTACACATCTTCATTAATAGATTTTATTTTGCAGGTTGAATTACCAAGGGGTTGTAAAGTCCCCAAATTCATAAAATTCTCAAGAGATACTAACGAATCAACTGTCGAACATGTGTCCAGGTATCGGATAGAAGCAGGGGACTTGGCAAATAGTGAAAACTTAAGGATAAAATATTTTCCTAGTTCATTAACCAAAAATACTTTTACGTGGTTCACTATATTGCCACCAAATTCTATATATATATGGCCTCATTTAGAAAGATTGTTCCATGAACAATTCTACATGGGGTAAACTAAGATAAGTCTGAAGGAATTAGCCAGCATTAAAAGAAAGTTTACTGAACCTAATAATGACTATTTGAATATGTTCTGTTTGTTAAAATCTAGATGTTTCACAGTAGTGCCTGAACATGAATTAGTCGAAATGGCCGCTGGTGAGTTAGATTACTCCATTCGAAAGAAACTAGATACTCAATATCTAAGAGACATGGCCCAGTTAGCAAACAGAGTTTGATAAGTCGAACGTTTGAAAGTAGAAAAGGTCAGGGCAAGTAAGAATTATAATAAAGAGAGGGTAGCTTATGTCGAAGCTGAAGAAGAGGAAACATAAGCCTTCAATGACATATATGATCTTGAGGAATTCGAAGTAGATTTGGCTGAACTAAAAGAAGCACCCCCATACTCTTGTAAAATGCTTACACCAGCAAACGGCAGAAATCCTGTCGAAGTAGAAAAGAATGACAAATTCCCCAAGAAAGCTTATATGTTTGACATTACCAAATGTGATGAGATTTTCGATTTGCTTGTAAAAGATGGTCAAATGATAGTGTCTCCTAATGCCAAAATTCCTCTGTTAGAACAACGGAAGAAAAGAGGCTTTTGCAAATATCATAACTTTATGGGCCATAAAACTTCACAATGCTTTCTTTTCAGGGATCTTATTCAAAATGCTATCAAAGAAGGACGCTTGAAGTTTGCTAACAAAGTCAAGAACCACATGAAGATTGATGTTGACCCCCTTCATGTTGCAGACACCAATTATGTTGAACCTGTGGAAATCAACATGGTGGACATGGTGGAATATGAAGGATAAGAGGCCAAGAGAGTCGAAGGCTCAAACATGAATGGCAAACAGGATACTGAAGGCCTAACTAACATAACCCCTTTTGACACTCCTGGAGAAAATATTTCTATAGGTGATGCTGAATCAGAGGCTACTGAGGGTCCTGAGGGAGGAATAACTGAGGCTACTGAAGGCCTTAGAGTTAAATTTGAGAAGATAAGGATTGTTGAAGGTCCTAGTCTAAGATTTAACATGGTGGATTTGAACCAACCTCCACCAGAAATGGAAGAAGTCGAAAGATGCTTTAAGCTGGAGAGGGAACAAATGAGTTTTGGCTACCCTAAGGCCAATGAGACTCTACGAGAATACCTCTGGAGGTGTCATCGAAGGAATTCGGAGATGCTGATGTGTCAAAGGTGCAACATTGCTCTGAATCGAAGGGTTGCAGAGGCTTATGAAAGAGCTCAACATGCTAGAACCCAGGGCAATTAGAGGCACGGAAGCCAGTTGATGAAAGTTACCCAAAGCCAGGGGAAAGTCTGCTTGGTTTTCTGGTACGCTGTTATAAATCTGAAACAGAATGTATGTTATGTCCCAGGTGTGAGGCAGTGTATGACAGGGAGATGGATGAAATGTTCAAATAATTCCATCCACCCATGGATGGGACCAACAAGGTAGCAACCCCAATATATACGTCTTCGACAAGAGGGGAGTTCCCATAAGGAAAGATAGTCCTCACCTCAAAGCCAGGAGAGTCACTTTCAAACTTCCAGCAGAAGTACCAACAGACAAATGGACACAGGCATGGGCAGGAAGAGGAAAGTGGAGAAGTTTTGACCAAGGAGGCAGAACTTCGATGGCCTACAGAAAGTAGTTTCAGACATCAAAGACAAATG